CCCCCCGGGTTAACCGGGTTCCGGCCCGCGCTCCCGGGGAGGGCGAAGGGCAAGAGGGGCTCCGCGCCTTCACCTGGCCCGGCGCCTCGCTGCTTGGCCGGCGGCCTGACTCCGGCCAACACGCACGCGGCCGGGGAGGCTGCTTCCTCCCGCCTCCTCGGAGGCCGCCCGGGGTGGGGGCCCTGCTGGTTTTTCATGGCTTTCCTGCCGGGGCTGCTGAAGAGCAGCTGGATGCCAGGGACGGGGCGAGGAGTCCGGGAGCAGAAATGGTAACAAAGGGCCCCTTGTTGGGGCTCTGGGAGGGCGGCGGGCGATACCTGTAACTGAGCTCCTTCCTGGGAAGGAGGAAAAAGTTTCCTTGGACCAGAGCGGAGGCCCAGGAAGGTGAGCCATGTCAAGGTGACTAAGGAGGGGGCTCTCTGCGAGCGGTTGGAGGGCCCCCGATGGTGTGCCAGCTGTCAGCCCGCTTGACAGTTCCGGGACCGGGCGGGGTGCGCGCCTCTGATTGGGGGTGTGTGTGCCTGTGACCAATTACTGGTGCCAAAGCCTAGCGCGGAGTCAGACGGCAAACAACCATACTTTTCTTCGTATCCTCACGTGTTTGAGGAGAGATTGGAGGTGAAGGGGCTGTCACATGGTGAGTTAATGTTAAATGAAGCATGCCTTCCTGCCAGATATGCTAATATCACCTTGCTAAGCGTTTGGGTAAACAGTATTGAGAACAGGTAGTTCCGCAAGAGATTGGGGGGACCTGAAAAAAACCTTCGACTTGGTAAGCTGCGAAGGCTTACCGCGGGTGCTCCCCGAACTTCTGAAGTGGGGCACCCCTCTGGTGCGGTGTAACTTTTTCCTACAGGTGTTCCCCCGACTCAGATTTTTTTTTTCTGGTACGCTGAACGCAGAAATGCCCTAAAAAGAATAGAAACATCCCAGGAAAGAAACATGAAAGGAAAAATCGACTTTGTAACCTGTGAATGAGAGTGTGCAATTTTCCTGACAAGAGTAGAGAAGTCATTTTTTCCCTGGGGCATGACAGACATTTCCGTAGAAGCAAGTCACAGCATGTTTATTCATCAGAGACCATGCGAGCATTGGCAGTTGTCTAGAGGAAACATGGGAAAGTCTCAAAGCAACATGACTAATAGAAAAGATATTTAGCATAATGCTTACGTAGTGCATGAATTAATTCTTTCATTTTGTTCCAAAGACTTATCTTCTTCCCTTTGCAAGTAGTCGTACTACTGTTGACTTCCATTTCTATTCTTTCACCATTTTTTTCTCCGTTGTTTAGATATTACCTTATATTCTTCCACATATTCTCACATTAGGATCTATGGGTAAAGAAATACATTGATAGAAAGATATTAATAATCATAGCATGAGCCTCTCAATGGAGCTGCAGAGTTATATAAATTGAAGCTGACACATATTTCAGGAATACTGAGAGTACTCAAAAAAGAACCCAGCATATGCACTTACACAAAATATACTTATGGGTGTTCAGAAATCAGTTAATACTTTTGAGTAAAATAGATGAGATCGGATGGCTCTGAGATGGGTGTTCAGAAATCAGTTAATACTTTTGAGTAAAATAGATGAGATCGGATGGCTCTGAGATGAAGGAATAGTAAGAATTTTCTAGTGATAAGCATGGCTATAGTTAAGATATTTCAGATTTTACTTTTGAGAATTTAAAGGTTTAATGAATAAGTTCTTTGTTTAGAAGAATACACAAAACTTTTATCTAATTTCTCAAATATGAAGAAAATACTTTCAAGGAATTTTGCCCTCTCCTAATTTAAAGAGCGACATCTGGAATAATGCTCCAATATATCTAAAAGCACCCCACTGTATCATTTTATCTTACATTATTCTATTCAGAAAAGTTATCAGTATCTGAAAAGTATTAACAAAAAATGACTTCTCTACTTTGTCTTCTTTTACTTATCTATCTTGTCCCTTGGCATATCCCAAGTGCCTATTACATGGTATTTATTGAACATTCAGCATTCAGTATTGCTTTTGTTGTTTTCTTAAAAACCCAAGACATTTAAAAGGTTTTAACTGTGAAAAATAATATCCTAGGTATAGGTATTTTGGAAGTGGCAGGGAGCAAGCTCAGTCAATATGTTATAATAAATCATTAGGTTTGAGAAGTAAATTCCTTGCTATAAAACTACTTAAATCATGACTCATTACTCTAATAGCCTACAAGGACTAGTGCTAGTTTAATCCTTAATCTTGTATATTACTGCTCTGTAGAATTTCTCTGTAATTTTCCATGCCTTACATTGTTGTAACAGGTCATTTTAAAGAAATTTAATGCAACTCTATATTTTATAAATGACAGTCTGAAGCCCAGAGACACTGAGTGACTTTGCAAAAGTCTCGTAGCAAATTAGTGGCAATACCAAGGAAAACAGGACTAGTTGCCTAGTTCATTGCATTAATTGCTGTTAATCTTTTTCTAAACACAATATTATACATTTAAATTTCAAAGAGTCATCTTGGGTACCTTAGCTTTAGAGCTACTAGTGCTTGTGTTTTTTACTTGCCCATGTAGATATGCTTAAAAATAATAAAATAAAATAAACCTCTTTGAAATTTAAATGTCAACATGTAGTTGACCTTGCTTTGAGGAACCTTAATGTATCTTTTTGTTTGTTTGTTTTTTAATACCCGAGAAGTGAGGATATTTTTCCCATTGATTTTAGAGAGAGTGGATTAGAGCGGGGAGAGGGACAAAGAGAGAGGAGAGAGAAAAAAAAATCTATGTGACGGGGACATACCAATTGGTTGCCTCCCATAGGAGCCTGGACCAAGAGAAGGGATTGGACCTGCAACCCAGGTAAGTGCCCTTGACCAGAAATTGACCCTCCAGTGCACAGTTGCACAGACTGATGCTCTAACCATTGAGCACCATCAGCCAGGGCAAGGGACCTTAATGTTTTGATTCTGAAACAAATTTTCAAGAATGGTCAGTGAGAAAAAAAGCGTACTACTTTATAATTTTTCAGCTTTGGACTTAGGGAGTTAATTGAAGGTGGTGGATATAAACATTAAGGAGTGATTTAGCAGCAGCTGCTTTCTTTAGCTTTTATGTGGATACTAGAAGCCCGTTGCATGAAATTTGTTCAGGGGGGGGCGTGGTTTACCCCTCAGTCCAGCCTGCATCCTCTCCAATCTGGGACCCCTTGGCGGATGTCTGACTGACGGTTTAGGCCCCATCCCCTGGGTTGGGCCTAAACCGGCAGTCGGACATCCCTCTCACAATCCTGGACCACTGGCTCCTAATCGCTCACCTGCCTGCCTGCCTGGTTGCCCCTTACTGCCCCCCGCTGCCAGCCAGGTTGCCCCCACTGAGACATGTCTTTAACCATAACAAAAACGCTTGCTGAAAATTATAAAGACCATTTGCCTTAATACATAAAATAAATATGGACTCAAAATTTATATAGAACTCCTTCTACCTTTGGTCTAGCTCCTAAGCACATCTGTTTCTAAACATCTTAACCACATATCAGTCATTTTTCATGACAGTCTCTAGCACAGAAGTTTAGATCTTCTCTTTACAATATATTCTAATATCTTATAAATGTTAAAATTCCACAATGCTTGCCAAGGAGCCAAGCCTAAATTTTCAATTACAAAAAACACCACACAACATGTATCAATTACTAATCATAATTCTGCAAAATCTCTTACTATAAGATATATATTGCTTTACACAAACAGATTATAAATCATTTTGTTCCAATTTATTTTAAGTTCAATATTTAGAGGTCTCCCCTGTAAATAAATTTTAAATTAAATAATCACTATTTCATTTGCCAGTTTCATCAGTTAGACCTGGGAGTCAATAATTTCTTCTGTATATGGGCAGAAGACAAATATTTTTAGCTTTGCAGG